AAATATTCATAATTGCTTTTGGTATTTGATTATTCGAAAAAGGGGGATTAATGATCGAAAAACTAAATCCAATTAATAATCAGTTATGATCAGGGCTGGCCGCATAACCAATATGAGCATTAACTACACTGATAAAACTATTTGGTCATTATGTTAAGTCAAGTTTAGTCAATTTTAGTCAAGGCAATTATTATCAATTAGAACCTTAATCTCTTTACGTAACCAGTCCTGGTTAAGATCAATCATAAAGTCCAGTTAATAATTAGTTAGATCTAATTGGTTCTTGGTTAAATAATTAGCCGAGACCTATGTAAAAATTCTATTTAATGATTAGCTAAGTTCCATTTAATAATCTTCAATTATTTAATGATTATTTATAACCATTTGATAGTTATTTATAACATTTAATAATTAGTTACGACGCGTCATAAGTACTAGTATTATTATTACTGTATTTGACGCCAAAATCATATTTATGCTGTAACGTCATCTTTTACTATAAATATAAACAAAGTTTATTTATTTATTTAAAATATTTAACAAACAAATGGAAGAAAACAATAATAATATTGACATTATAGAAGCAGAGACACCTGAGAACTCCAAAACAATATTAATTGTTGATAATGGATGTGAAATTAACCAAATAAAATATAGCTCTAATTCCAAATACTTTGTTACACATAATGCAATAGATAAATCTATCATTGGATGGTCAGTTGGTATTGATGAAAAAACAATTGAACAAGACAAATATTTGAAATATTCTAAAAATGGTTTTTTAGAAGATTCAGACAAATTTATTGGTATAACTGTAGACAATGATGAAGTTGATTTTGGTGAGAAACAAGATCCAAGTTCAAATGAATCTATTGATATAACTATAGAAGATGTATCTGATGATAAATGTATACTTTTATGTAATCATTCTGAAAATAAATCTTATTATAGTAAGTGATTATTAATTAATAAATATATTTTTATTGATATGTAATAAATTATAATATATAAAAATTTTTTTTATAGAACTTCTTGACTTTTCAAAAAAAAATGTAAATTATTTTGAAATTCAGATCAGCCACAAAATAAATATAACTTTTGACCAAGGATTTTTCTTTGGAAATAATAAACTAATAATGGGCAAAATGGAGAAGGATTATTATAATTTGCATCTATTTACATATGATAGTAACAGTAAAAACAATCCAATAGTTCATAAAGCAACACATAAACTTTATAATATTCATAATCCTGATTTTTTTTCCACTCCTGATAATAATCTTCTAATTGCTAGCAATGGTATATTACTCTCAGAATGGAAATTACAATGGAATGATGGAACTTTTTTGCGTAAAAAAAATCATTACTTTCTACTTAGATATGATAATGTTTATTTTAACAAAAATAACTTGCTAATGGTGACATATAATAAATCTGATTCAAAACTATTAGTTTATTCATTAAAAGATGATGTTATTATTACATCATGTAAGTGTTTATAATTTAATTAACTTAAAATAATATGATTTTATAACTGAAATTTTATAATTTGTATATAGCTAAACTAGAAGAAAACATTGACATTAAAAAATTGGATTTTTATACAAAAGATCAGTTAGAATTTTTATTAGTAATCTATTCTAAACACAACACAAAAAATTATCAGTGTCAATTGATGGATCCTTATAATCTTGACAATGTTAATGATGTTACAAAATATTTTAATGAAAATATTATAGAAAATACAACAGAAGATATTCTATTTGGAAGAGTTCTACTAGATAATAAAATAACTATGATAATTAAAGATCAATTATTAACCAAGGAATTTATTAATGAAGAAAAATTAGAAAAATTAAAAAAGCATAGAGAACAAATACA